TCTAGATCTGGCCCCCAGGGCGGCTCGAGCGCGGAGCGCAGGAGGCGCTGCAGGCGCCTCCACGCCCTCCGGGCGGCTGCCCCGCCGCTCTGCGCCGCCCTGCCGCGCGCGGCGAGCGAGCGCCGCGGCGGCGCAGAAGCAGGCCGGGTCCAAAGGAGGAGAATCGGGGGTTGACAGAACCCCCACCCTAACACGTCGTTTAGTGAATTGTCCGTTTTCGGTTCTCCGGAGTGCGCCGCGGCCGTCGTTTTCCAGGCTTGCCCCCGCCAGGTTCGGGCCCGAGGTCTTTTTCACTAAACCACTTTTTACTAAAGGGGTTTCTGTCCTTCTCCGAGAGAAGTCGTTTCGGGTATAGCCTTAAGTCGGGCCTGTCCCTCTACAGGAGGGATAGTCAAAAATTGTCGAAAAATAGTCTGGGGACGAGTTTTGAATATTTCTTTACCAGTTTTGCATATTTTTGGGGTGTTTGTCATTTTTCGCCCCAAATCCTCCTGTGGGAGGACAGGCCCGACTTAAATATAGCCAGGACCCCAGGTAAGGGGACCCGGTTAGTAGTAGGGCTCCGGAGCCTCTAAGTTTGCCAGAGTCGTTAAACCGGGTCTGCCGTATACTGGTGCTTTTATCTGGGTGACGGCGGCTCCGGTTAGTGGAACGGGGCGGGGGGGGGCGCCCCTCAGTACACATCACTAAACCAGGTCCCACTAAACCCAGTTCTGCCAACGCCTGAATAGTCGAAAAATAGTCTGGGGGCGATGTTTGACCATTCTTGGCCATTTTGGAGTTTGTTGGGGGGGCATCGGCGAAGAAGTAGGCCAGCGCCACGGTTAAGTCAGGCCTGTCCGTATGCAGGGGCAATATTCAAAAATAAAAAAAAATAGCCAGGTGACGATTTTTGTTTTACCATTTTTGGACTATTTGGGAACATGTTTTGGGGTATTGTTAATTGTTCGTCCAAAATCCGCCTGTGGGGTGACATGCCCGACCTACCGCTACGGAGGAACAGTCGCGAGTGGGCCCTGGACCAGGCCGTAGGCAATTAATTTAGGCTCAAGCCGGGCGTGTCCCTCTACAGGGGGAATATTGAAACATAGTCCCAAAGTAGTCTGGGCGATCTTTTACCATTTCTGGCTGTTTTGGAGCACGTTGGGGGTGTTTGTTATTGTCGGGGGACATGCCCGACCCAACGCTACGGGCTCGGGCCGGGACTCGAAGGCCTCGGGGGAAGGAGGGAGGAGGAGGAGGAGGAGGAGGAGGAGGTGGAGGGAGGAGGAGGAGGAGGAGGAGGAGGAGGAACAGTCGTGTCTGGGCTCTGGAACGGGCCCCCGGGAAGTTGCTCTGGGCCTCCTGGATAGGGTCCGAGCAGATGCGGGTCAGAGAAATCTCGCCGCCTCGCCGGATGCAGCGACGATGCGACGCCTCCCCGCCATCGACGCCCCGACGCCTCCCCTCCCCCTCCCCTCCCCCTCCCCCTCCCCCTCCCCCTCCCCCTCCTCCCCTCCCCTCCTCCCCTCCTCCTCCTCCTCCTCCTCCTCCTCCTCCTCCTCCTCCTCCTCCTCCTCCTCCTCCTCCTCCTCCTCCTCCTCCTCCTCCTCCTCCCCCTCCTCCTCCTCCTCCTCCTCCTCCTCCTCCTCCTCCTCCTCCTCCTCCTCCTCCCTCCTCCTCCTCCTCCTCCTCCTCCTCCTCCTCCCCCTCCCCCTCCGCCTCCCCCTCCCCCTCCCTCCTCCCCCTCCCCCCTCCTCCTCCTCCTCCTCCTCCTCCTCCTCCTCCTCTCCTCCTCCTACTCCTCCTCCTCCTCCTCCTCCTCCTCCTCCTCCTCCTCCACCTCCTCCGGCTCGATGTTGAGCTCGTTTTTCCCCCCGCCGACGTCGCCGATGCATCGGCAACACATACGCGATGCGGCCCGATCCTTCGACCCCATCTACTCGGACCCCAGGAAGGATTTCGCTAAACACCTCTGAAGCCAGCCGCTCCTGTTCCCGACGGGGCTGCCTGAGCGCAGACCGCACGGGGGCCTGTCAGCCGATGAAGCGCGCGTGTGGTGCTAGTCAGCGTCTGGATGGCATGTGTCACCCGCGCGTGCGCTCATCTGCGCTCCTGTGTCGCTCTTGGAGCGCTCCCAGCCCGTGATGCCACGCAGTTTCCCTGTGGGGGCCCAGGGAGGTGGTCGGGAGCTCCGAGGACCCGCCCTGGCCCCCCCCCCCTCCCTGGGGCGGTGGGGCAATCGACACAGCTTTGTTGCGCGCCTGGGCCAACGCGGCGCAAAGTTTGTCGCCAACGAATGGCTTGCGAGCTATGGAATCGAGGTGATCCATACACAGCGTTCCTTGCTTCAGCTCGGCGCGTGAGCTCGTGCAGCGCGGCGACCCATGCACAGCGTCCTCTGCTTCTGTCCATGTGCCTGTCAAGCGCTTGGGCCAGCGCTCTAACGGGACGGGCAGATATACTTCCCTCTCGTTGGGCCGCAAATTTCGGGGGTCGCCATGAGTACGGAGAAGACAGTGTGGCTTTACGACAGTGCGGGCTCAATTGCTGGCAGTCGTTGCTGCGAGTTTTTTTTGCACACTTAACGGACTCTGCGCCTAGCAATTAGCGCGCTGAGAAATTACTAGGAGGCCACATGCGAACCCTACCCCATTACCCCACGATTCCTAAGGGGGGAGGTGGGGCTCACTCCGTTCGGGACCTCTCGAGCGAAGCGAACCCCACCTGACCCCCTTGAAATCGTGGGGTGGTGGGGTCGGGTTCGCACGTGGCCACCTGAAAACCTGGCTGTTAGGGGCCCCGAGTTATCCCAGCAAGATTCGAGGAGGAGGGGGTGGAGGAGGAGGAGGAGGAGAAGGAGGAGGAGGAGGTGGAGGAGGAGGACGGGGAGGAGGAGGAGGAGGAGGAGGAGGTGGAGGAGGAGGAGGAGGATCAGGAGGAGAAGGAGGAGGAGAGGAGGAGGTGGAGAGGAGGAGGAGGTGAGGAGGAGGAGGAGGTGGAGGAGGAGGGTAGGTGGAGGAGGACGAAGAGGAGGAGGACGAGGAGGAAGAGGTGGAGGAGGAGGAGGAGGAGGTGGAGGAGGAGGAGGACCAGGAGGAGAAGGAGGAGGAGGAGGAGGAGGACGAGGAGGAGGAGGAGGAGGAGGAGGTGGAGGAGGAGCAGAAGGAGGCTGAGGAGGAGGAGGATGACGAGGAGGAGGAGGTCCTTCCTGCCGTCGTCCTGGAGGGAGAGGCGCGGTGCTCCTCGCCCCGGGCTCCAGGGGTGGCGCCGCGGGCGAGAGCGCTCCGAGTGCGGGCTGCGGCGGGTGTCGGCGCAAGGTAGGGGGAGGCACTGGCGCCGGGCGGCGGCAGTACGGTGGACTGGGAGCCTTGAGACGGGGGTCAATCGCAGGCCTAAAGGTTGACACCAACACCAACATCGGCGGTGTGCCTCCACCGAGGGAACGAGATCCCGATCTCGGTGATGGTGGTAATATTCTGGCGTCCAAGGTGACCGAAATATTGCCACCAACACCGAAATCTAGGATCGTCGTCCCCCTGTGGAGGCAACCCCCCTGTGTTGGTGTTGGTGCCAATTTCTAGGCCTCCAAGTCAATGCAGACGGGGGTCAGCCAGGGCACCGGATCCTGGAGGATCCTGCGAAGACCCCCTCTGGCTGATCCGGGTTAGCGAGGCGCTCGTGGCCGCGAGGCGGCCGCGCCTATTGGCTGACCCGGGTTTGCGAAGACCTGCGTTGCAGTTTTTTTTCCTGCATTGCAGTTTTTTTGGTTTCCTGCTGACCCGGGTCTGGATAGACCCAGGTCAGAAGGTCCCCGAGGAACCCCGTGCCAAGAGGTACCCCGCCCCGGGTTTCTTGGGTTTCGATGGTGGTCGTCGTTCATGCACTGTTGTGCCGATCGGCGCGGGCCCCCGCGCCTCCTCCCTGGCCACCCCCTGGAGTAGATTTTGCTTGTTGTCGGCGCCTGGTTCGAGCACGCGGAGTCCCCACAATGAGACGCACGGCTGCCAACAGCCCTACTAAGCAGAGATCTGGAGCAAGACCCCTCCCCCTTCCCCCCTTCCGCCCAACGCTCGGACGTGTGCATTTTTCATTCGGCGAGGACCATCGAGGAGCATCCTTGATCATTTTACGAAATGACCACGCACGAAACCGAAAAAAGCATAGGTAATGGACGTCTGAGCACTGGCCAGTGTTGAAAAGCCGAATCAAAGAACGTTTGCCAGACGGGACGAGGAGGGGAGATGAGGGGAGAGGAGCGGAGGGAGGGGAGCGCGGGGAGGAGGACGAATAGCAGTAACAGTAGCAATGTCGGTCGGAGGAGGAGGCGGCGGGGCTCTGTTCGCCCGTTGTGTGGTTCGGGTGCGGCCCAGAGGGGGGTGATGACTAGGGGAGACTAGATATCATGGCGGGGGCCATGAGTTAATCGCCCCAGATTTCATGGCGCCTCTGCTTATTTCAACCCGTACCCGCCCACCCCCCCTCCCGCTGGGCCGCGCACATGCCGCCAGCCATGATTTGCGCGCCGCCCCTCCTCTTGAACGCCCCCCTCTTGGACGCTCCGGACGTTGTGTGGTCAATGAGCGCTCTCATTCTGCCGTTGTGATGACGTTGAGCAGGACCGTGCTGGGAGTACTCTCAGCGAGGTTCTGCCGACTGGCGTCTGCCCCGCTCCCGTTATCTCACCGCTTCCCGCATGCGGCGGGCAAGAGGAGATTAGGATGCAACTCTTGGGATGTTCCGTTCACCGTCGGTGCTGGCATCGCCGTTGTCGAAAAGTTGCCTCATCCAGCACAGTCCCGTTTCATGTCGCTCAAGCCCGCCTATTCGGGCTGAATGGTGGGCTTAATCTGGCTTGATACGCTTGCATCGCCTTTCAATCGGGCCTGATCGCCCTTAATCGGTCTCACGAATACCTCCCAAGAATTATTTCCTAAAGGAGGAGGCGCACAATAATGAGGAGCAGCAGGAGGGACAACCACCATCAGAAGCGGAGGCGGTGACGACACTCGCGACGGGAGGTGGGCAAGTACGTCCTGGCGCAGTTTCCGCCGGACGAGCAGTGGTATTACGGCAAGCTGATAAAGGCCGAGGGCAAGGAGGGCCCCCAGCTGGAAGAGACTCGGCATCGCTCGGACGTGTGCATTTTTTCCTCTGCGAGGACCAAGGAGTAGAATCCTGGATGACTTAGCGAACAAAAGCACGCACGAAATCGAAAAATACACGAGGAATGGACGTCCGAGCGATGGCAAGGAGAGGGGTGACAGAGAGGAGTGGGGGAGGTGGCGCAGGCTACCGATTCGGTAATGCTTATGGCTTATGGTGGTGTTCCAGCATTTCCTCGCAGGTTGCGTGCACAGTTACGTTCGATGTTGCGGGCTCCTCGTCGTTCGGCACTTCTCATTGCCCATCTGCTCGCAGCATTCGTGCGCAGTATGAGTTGTGGCCACTGTGCCCAAGTCGATTTATTATTGTCGTGTCGCTTTGGCTTACCATCTGGACGCTACGTTCCCAGTCGATTCAAGTCTGACTATCGTGGGAAGGCGAGATGGCCAGCGCGCCACAGGTTCGCCGCCCGGCTCGCCCAACGGACGGCTTCGCCAGCGGGTCGGTTCTCAGAGGGGGACCAGGGACCAAGGCCACCGATAATTCATCGGCAAGAGGCTTGCACGCTTGAGCGTCATTTCGCATCGGGGTGACGCTCGGGCGTGCCACCGCCAAGAGCTCGGCCCCCCATAGATGGGTCGGAGGAGGAGGAGGACGAGGAGGAGGAGAAAGAGGGGGAGGATGACGAGGAGGAGGAGAAAGAGGGGGAGGCGGAGGAGGAGGAGGAGGAGGAGGAGGAGGAGGAGGAGGAGGAGGAGGAGGAGGGAGGAGGAAGGGGAGTGAGGAGGAGGAGGAGGAGGAGGAGGAGGAGGAGGAGGCGGAGAAGGAGGCTGAGGAGGAGGAGGACCAACCCTATTAATACATCATAATGTTGTTGACGCTTCGCGTATCCCCACCAGCCCATCCAGAAACGATGCTCAGGGGAGTTGAGGTGATCAGGGAAGTCGGGGAGCATGCAGAATAACAAAGGGTGGCGGAAGCTGTCACAGACCCCGAGAGGGGGAGGATGGAAGAGGAATCGTCGTCGTCGTCGTCGGAGGTGGAGGAGGAAGAGGAGGAGGAGGAGGAGGAGGAGGAGGAGGAGGAGGAGGAGAATGAGGAGGATATGGAGTAGGGCGAGGACGAGGAGGACGAGAAGTAGGAGAAGGAGCAGAGGGAGGAGAAGGAGGAGAAGGAGGAGAAGGATGAGGAGGGGGAGGAGGAGGAGGAGGGAGGAAGAGTAAGAGGTGGTTGAGGAAGAGGAAGAGGAAGAGGACGGCGAACCGAAGAGCCAGGTCTTGAATGCCTTTTCGGAAATCCTCTTGAGGCTTCTTGGGGGTCTCTTGGGAGCCTCTTGGAGGCGTCGTGGGCGCCTCTTGGGGACGTCTTGGCGCCTCTTGGGGCGCTCTTGGGGCGCTCTTGGGGCGCTCTTGGGGCGCTCTTGGGAGCCTTCGGGGCGTTCTTGGGGCCATCTTGGAGGGAGTCGATCAAACAAGAGGAGAGCTTCAATTCACCTCCCCCCTCGGGAGCCCCACAAATCGCCTCTTGGGGCCCTCTTGGAGCGCTCTTGGAGCGCTCTTGGGCGCTCTTTGGGCCGTCTTGGGGCTCTCTTGGGCCTCTCTTGGGGCCCTTTTGGGCCATCTTGGAGCCATCTTGGAGCCATCGGAAGCGAAAAGGCGAGAAGGCAAAACACATTGTTTTTGTTCCTTCGATTTTGGGACGATGTTGGCCTCTTCGGGGCCTCCTTGGGGAGCTCTTTGGCATCTTGGAGCCGTCTTGGGGCCGTCTTGGGGCCTCTTGGAACCATCTTAGGAGCCATCTTGAGCGATCTTGCGCTATCTTGAGCCATCTTGGGGCCAACAGAGCCGTCCGATCGCTCGCGAAACCCTCCGTCGAGGTCCAGGGGCGGGGGTAGGGGTAGGGGTAAACCCCTCCCCAAGCGGGAAGAGGCAGGGGTGGAAGAGGATCTGTTCTAGACCACCTACGCCCAGAGGGCTGGTGGGACTATTCAGAATTTCATCGGCAAGAGGCTTGCACGCTTGAGCGTCATTTCGCATCGGGGTGACGCTCGGGCGTGCCACCGCCAAGAGCTCGGCCCCCCATTGGTGGGTCGGAGGAGGAGGATGACGAGGAGGAGGAGAAAGAGGGGGAGGAGGAGGAGGAGGAGGAGGAGGAGGAGGAGGGAGGAGGAGGAGCGAGGAGGAAGGAAGAAGGAGGAGGAGGAGGAGGAGTAGGCGGAGAAGGAGGCTGAGGAGGAGGAGGACCAACCCCATTAATACATAATAATACTATTAAGAATGATCAGAAGACGAAGACGGAGACGAAAACGAAGACGAGGACACAACACAGTCCGAACCAAAACAATCAGAAGAAGCAACAGCCTCATACTTCTAGAACTCTTTTAGTACGAAGACGAGTGAGAAGATGAAGAAGAAGAAGAAGAGGACGAGAACGAGGAGGAGGAGGAGGAGGAGGAGGAGGAGAGTGAATCTGATTCCGGTGGAGGAGGAGAGGAGGAGGATGAGGAGGAGGAGGAGGAGGAGGAGAGGAGGAGAAGAGAAGGAGGAGTCCCTGGGGGATCTTCACCAGGGACGGGTGTGCGTGTGCCCAGCGGGGGGGGGGGGGGGCAGAGCGCGAGCGCCCTGAGGGTTGGGGCCCGCCTCGCGGGCGGGCCTCCCCGTGCGGCTCGCCGCTGTTCCGCGCGGCCGTCCTGCTCCTCCTCCTACCTCCTCCTCCTCTTCTCCTCCTCCTCCTCCTCCTCCTCCTCCTCCTCCTCCCTCCTCCTCCTCCTCCTCCTCCTCCTTCCTCCTCCTCCTCCTCCTCCTCCTCCCTCCTCCTCCCTCCTCCTCCTCATCCTCCTCCTCCTCCTCCTCCCTCCTCCCCCCTCCTCCTCTCCTCCTCCCCTCCTCCTCCTCCTCCTCCTCCCCTCTCCTCCTCCTCCTCCTCCTCCTCCTCCTCCTTCCTCCCCTCCTCCTCCTCCTCCTCCTCCTCCTCCTCCTCCTCCTCCTCCTCCTCCCTCTCCTCCTCCTCCTCTCGTCCCGCCCTGCGATGGGGCCAAGAGGGCTCCAAGACGGCCTCGAGATCCCCCCAGAGAGCCCCAAGAGTCACAGAAAAAAAAGGATATCCATGCCTCAACCCTTCGCCCGTTTTCCCCCTTTGGGGCCTCTTTCGGAGGCTCTCGTCGCCACCGTTGGATTCGCCCCGAAATCCTGGTCAGAGCGCACCCCAGGAGAGGTCTTGGGAGTTGCGGCATCGGCATCTTCTGGCTTCCGCCAAGAGAGCCCCAAGACCCCCCCCAGGCCTTCAAGAGTCCCAGGACGGCCCCAAGGCTTGGCTCGTTTCGAATCCTCGCAGGCGTAGAGGTTGCCACCCGCACCAAGATCGGCGGTGTGCCTCCACCGAGGGACGACGATCCCGATCTCGGTGATGGTGGTAATATTCTGGCTTCCAAGGCGACCGAAATATTACCACCAACACCGAAATCCAGGATCATCTCCCCCCTGTGGAGGCAACCCCCTCTGTTGGTGTTGGTGTCAATTTCCAAGCCTCCAAAATCCTCCGCTCCGACTCGATTCGGCTTCGGCAGCTTCCCTCACCGGAATCGGATTCACTCCTCCTCCTCCTCCTCCTCCTCCTCCTCCTCCTCCTCCTCCTCCTCCTCCTCCTCCTCCTCCTCCTCTCTCCTCCTCCCCCTCCCCCCCTCCCCCTCTCCTCCCTACCCCTCCTCCTCCTCTCCGCTTCGACTCGATTGTTTCGGCAGCTTCCAGTTCCACTCCGAGTCGGCTTCGGATCCGACGGTGCGCTCTGGTTTCTCCCCCTCCCTCCCCTCCTCCTCCTCCCTCCTCCTCTCCTCCTCCTCCTCCTCCTCCTTCCTCCTCCTCCTCTCTCCTCCTCCTCCCCCTCTCCCCCTCCGCCCCCTCCTCCTCCCCCTCCCCCTCCTCCTCCTCCTCCTCCTCCTCTCTCCTCCTCCCCCTCCTCCCCTCCCCCTCCTCCTCCCTCTCCCCCTCATCCTCCTCCTCCTCCTCCTCCTCTCCTCCTCCTCCTCCTCCTCCTCCTCCTCCTCCTCCTCCTCCTCCTCCTCCTCCTCCTCCTCCTCCTGTCCACCGATCCGACTCCTCCCGACTCGGCTGCCGATCTCTGCCGGTCCTTTCCGCTTCGATCGCCGAAGGTGACTTCTCGATTCGTTTTGGGGTTCTCCTGCAAGAGGACCCCCAAGACCCCACAGCATAAAACGACGCGAAGATCGGGACAAAATCGGATCGGGATAACTCGAAATCTCTGAGAATCGGCTGGTTTGGAGGATGTATTGGGCGCCGCGGCCGCTCCAGAGCGTTCCGGAACGCTCTGAGAGCGCTGCGGAACGCTCTGGAGCGATTTATCCCGATTTTAGCCGTGTTTTAGAAAGTGACTTCTCGATTCGTTTTGGGGTTCTCCTGCAAGAGGACCCCCAAGACCCCACAGCAGCCCCAAGAGGACCCCAAGATCCCCCAAGAGAGTCCCGGGAGGGCTCCGAGAGACGTTTTTGATGGGCTCTGTTTTCCTCCTCGCGGAGGAGCATGTCATGAACAGTCCCGAGCTTTCATGAACGGTTCCATATGATGCTCTGTGATGCCACCCCCCCATGCCCCACGCAGGGCCAGGCGTTGTCCGACATTGGACAGGGCTCGAGCCAAACGGTGTTGTGGCGACGTCGTGGGCCGTTTTCGTGTTGATTTCATGTTGTGGCAAAGGCAGAGCGGAGACAGAGCGAGGGAAAACGAACACAACACGAAAACGAACAGCACTGTGTCTGTCTGTCTGTCTGTCTGTCTGTCTGTCTGTCTGTCTGTCTGTCTGTCCGTCTGTCTGTCTGTCTGTCTGTCGGTCTGTCTGTCTGTCTGTCTGTCTGTCTGTCCCCTTCCCCCCAGCTTCAAAGACGGCACGCGCGGGGAAGGTTGCGGTCGATGTGCAGCGCAGGAGGGACATCATTTTCCAGTTTTGATCACTGGGGGGAGGGAGGGGCAGGCAGGCAGTTTAGGGAGAATCAGCTCCGTGGAGCGCCATTTCAGCCACGCCCTCGCATTGGTTTTCCCTCCTGTCTTCTCAAGCCTCTGCGTTCGGCTCCCCCCTTCCTCCCTCTACAGTGGAAGCCCGTGCCAAGAAGCACCCTATTTGCCTCCAGTCCGCCATTGATTTCTTGGGTTTCGATGGTTTTTCAGTGAAAAGCGTGACGTTCACACACAAAAAGCAGTGGACGCCCTGGGGTTCCAGGAGTGGGTTTGCCGTGGAGGCTTTCTCGTGCCCGTGTCTCGAAACATCGGAACGCCGGATATCTGCGAGGAAGGTTGCTCGAGGAGCGGGAAGAAGAGGAGGGGAATTCAGAGCCCCGAATCATCAGGGGTAACTCGGGTCAGGGGTAACTCGGGTTCCTTTTTCGGGAATCCAAACCCGAGTTACCCCGGACCCGAGTTACCCCGGATAACTCGGGCGCCCAAGGAATGAAGGCGAGCAAATGGAGACGAGCTTGCCTGAGCCCTCGTGGTCCCCGAAAAGTCGCCTCCGGGGTGCCTCTTGCCGCTCGTGCCGCTCGTGGGCCTCGTTGGGGGTTTTCTTGGGCCCCTTCTTCGGGCTGTCTTGGGCCACTCTTGGGGCACTCTTGGGGTCCTCTCGGGGGCCTGGGGGACCGCTGTGGAACATATCAAGAGGACATCGATCAAAGAAGGGGAGGTCCCCTGATTGACAGCTTCGCCCCTCTTGCGCCGCCAGACTCGTCTCCCGAGGCAATCTTGGGGCGCTCTTGGGGCCGTCTCGGGGCCATCTTGCTCCTCTTTTGCGGCAGTCTTGGGCCATCTTGAAAAGTCATCTCTGACGCCTCCCAAGTTCATCGGAAGCGAAAGCGCGAGAATGCGCAAAGCATTGATTTTGCGGAAGTGTTGGAAGGATTTGGGCCTCGCTGGGGCCTCCTGAGGGGGATCCGTGGCCACGTGGAGTTTTCTTTGGGTGGACTCGGGAACTCGTGGAACGGTCCAGGAACCTCTTGGGACCATCTTGAGCCACATTTGGCCATCTCGAACCATTTGGGAGACCATCTTGGGCTAGCTGGAGCTCTTTCGGAGCCGTTTTCGGCCATCTTGAACAGTGGGAGGTGTTAGGGGCAGGCGTAAACCCCTCCCCGCAGAGGGACAAGGCGGTCTGAAGAAGAATTGCGCAAAACCTCTCACGCCCCAAAGAGCTGGTGGGATGCGGAGAGATCCCGGTGCGCTACCCCTTTCCCTGTACCCTCCCCCCTCCCCTCCTGCCCGCCTCGCCCCCAAACGCGCTGCGGGAGGGAAGGGTCCACCCGCAGGACTTCGTCGTCAAGTGGGACGAGCCAGATGAGAACGAGCCCGAGTCTAAGGCGCGCGCAAGACGGATGTGCGGGCAAGGCTTGTGTCCTCATCCACTTCAGCTGGGAATTTCGGGCGCACTGGGTATGGACAAACATCCGGCCCCTAGAAGCTCCATGCTTATCCATGCCTGGTGCGCCTTTGACTTGCGGCGCCCCTTCCGAGAACGTCCAAGACGCACTGGACTTGGATATGAACATTCTGGGGGGGCAGACCGCTTAGGGAACCCGACGAGGAGGACGAAGAGGAGGAGGAGGAGGACGAGGAGGAGGAGGAGGTGGAGGAGGACGAGGAGGAGGAGGTGGAGGAGGATGAGGAGGAGGAAGTGGAGCAGGAGGAGGAGGAGGGGGAGGAGGAGGAGGAGGCGGAGGAAGACGACGTCGGCGTCGACGTTGACGTCGACGACGACGACGGCGGCGAGCTTGAGGATCCTGCGGGTCCAACCGACGTTGGGGCACCGGACGCCCCAGTCGGGGTTTACTTGGCTGCGGGCGCCCTTCGAATTCCGAACCTCCGCTGGTGCCTCGGAGTCTCGACGCGCAGGAGAGGGGGGACACGTCTTTTGATGAGTTTTCTTGCGTTAAACAGGCGGACGACGCCGAAACGTGCACGCGGATTGAACTTCCGAGCGATGGCAAGACGCGTGGCTGTTTGTGGGAAGGGCCAGTGGCCAGGCGCAGGGGCAGGGTGAGCCGAACACCAAGTCTGGGCTCCAGAAGACTACTCTAGGCTCGTGCAGCGCTGGCCCGCCAGCGACGCCGGCGAAGAGGCGCGTCGAGGTTGAATTCTGCGATGCGGGCGCACCGATGGACACGGTGACGCCAGTGGACCCAGCGGAATTCAACCTTGAACGGTCGGGGCCGCGATCGATTCAAGGTTGAACGGTCGACGCGGTGTTGGAAGCCTTTGCGCGCGCCGACGCCGCACGTGCCTACAGTTGGTTAAGGATTGTGCCCAGGAGGCTTCAGACCCTGGGCGGGTCCTTATCCGCCCTGAGGGTGGCGGCGATATCCATGGCCCATCCGCGATTGGAGTTCCACCGGCTTCCAGACCGTGCAATCTTTACCCAATGGTTCCTGATTCCGAGGAGCTGACAACTGCCAACCGACAGCACCTGTGCGTCGCCTCCTCCTCCTCCTCCTCCTCCCAATGTTTTTCTCACGTTCCTTAACTGTGTCCCTCTGTTACCTCCCCCCCTCTCTGGAGTCTGGGGCCAACCCTCAGCGTGAGGCGCGGCCTTGGCGCCAATGCCGCGCGCAACGGGAATGCTGCTCCAAGCAGGCGCTGCTTTCGGAGGTTGATAGACCTCCTACCCTGACACGTCGATTAGTGAATTGGCCGTTTTCGGTTCGCGAGAGGGCGTCGCGGCCGTCATTTTTGCGGGTCCAGATCCGTCGGTTTCGGTCCCAGGCCGTTTTCACTAAAGGGAGGTTTACTAAAGGGAGGTTTGTCCACAGCCGATACTTTTGCGCGTTTTTCCCTGATTCCGCGTGCGACCCACCCGCGCGAGCGAGCCGGCCGCCGGCGCCTCCTGTCACGGGAGGGGTGGGCGGCGGGGCTGGTAAATGCACGGTGTCCTGGCGATTTTTCGTGGGTCCTCGTCGTCTCGGCCTCGTTCTGCGGCAGGGGCGGACTGAAGACGAGGCGAGGGAGAGCGAGCACGAAGCGAGCACGAACCGAGGCGAGGGAGAGCGAACACGAACCGGGCCCTGGTTGGCTCGGCCCTCGTTCTGCGGCAAGGGCGGGCTGGAGACGGGGCGAGGGAGAGCGAACACGAAGCGAGCACGAACCGAACACCGTTCAGGTTCAGCCCCGGTGGCGGGGGAGGGCTCGCGAGCGAGACGGCGTTCTGGCAATGCCGTGGGCCGTTTTCGTTTTGGCTTCGTTTTGCAGCAGATGTGGAACGAAGACAGGACCGTTTTCGTTTTGACGTCGTTTTTGTTGCAGCAAGTGTGGAGCGAAGACAGAACCAGGGATGACGAAAACAGCACGACGACGGAAGACAACGCTTTACTCGAGCCCTGGGGCGGGGACCAGTGCGTCCTGCGTGTCCGAAGGCAGCACGCGGGACGCTCCGCTTGGATCGGGGGAGCGTAAGACCCGGGTTTGCCAGGACTCGGGTTCGCCATCGTTTTTTGACGACCGCGCCTCGGATTTTGACGAGGAGGAGTTTCGTGGGATGTCTGCAGCGGGAGGCCTCGTCAAAATGCAGGCTCGGCCTCGTCATTTTTTTGACGACCTCGTCGGGGATTTCCGAGTCCCCCGTACCCGGGTCTTACGTCTCCCCGCTTGGAGAGAGACGCCACGGCACGCGGGCGAGAGGCGCGCACGCGCGCCCGCGCCTTGTAGATTGGCCCGCGCGAGCTCCAGCCGCCCACCGGCAGCACCAGTGCTTACCCTCCTCCTCCTCCTCCTCCTCCTCCTCCTCCTCCTCCTCCTCCTCCTCCTCCTCCCTCCTCCTCCTCCTCCTCCTCCTCCTCCTCCTCCTCCTCCTCCTCCTGATTCATTCCTCGTCTTCCCTTACCGTCGGGAGTCCCAGGCCATCCCTCAGCGTGAAGCACGGCCTCGGCATGAACACCGTGCGCGTTGGAGGCACTGCCTTCGCCACGAGCACACGGGCCACCTGCCGGCGCGAAGACAACCGCTTGCCTCTGGCCCTGGGCCACTGGGCCTGTGCTTCGAACGCGAGCACAACCGTCCTCCTTCCTAGCGGTACCCAACTGCTTACAGAGACCCGTTTCTGTTTGAAGCTACAGCGTGCATGAATCCGTGCGGATGCGCCGGCCGCCGCCGCTCTGTTACGGTACGGATGGGTGGGGGCCAGCACAAGACCAGGGTGGGAGATCGACGCGCCGCTGCTTGCTCTCGCTTTCGGCCGCTGCGCGGGCGACATCCAGGTTTTAACGTCATCGATCCCATGCTCCTACCGCCACTTCCATTCTGCAAACACGTCCGTGGCCTGTCCAGCAGTAGACCCGAGGTCATGGCACAGCCTCGACCAAGCGCAACTCCTGAGGGCCGGTGCTGAACCTGAAAAGAAACAAGCAAAACCACAAGGTGGGAGGTTGAGGGCGAGCCGCCAAACCAGGCTGCGCACGGCAACCAGACCTGAATATGCCTCACACCGTGCGTCCGCCGCATAAAGGAGCAGCCAGAGCTGCGCGAGCCATCAGCTTCAGGCTGCAACGCTCGACAGCCGACCTGCCGCTGCACAGTGCCAGGCCTGGAGAGGTGGCCACCACTGGCCAACAGGATAGGGTGGCTTTCACGTGGAGTACTTCGAGGAAATCACATCACGTTTACTTTGTTCCCCCTTCAGCAAACGACTCTTGGAGCTGTGTTCCAGGAGTCGCCTGTCTCTATCTTGATCACAAACCCCCAGGGCCGACCGGCCTTGGGGGGAGGGCTACGTCCAGAGGACCGTTCAGCCGTCAGGAACCAGGAATCAGGAGGAGGAGCACGGGGCGGGAAGCCACAGGAGGAGGAGTGAGGAGGAGGAGGAGGAGGAGGAGAAGGAAGAAGGAGGAGGAGCGGGAGGCGGGGGAGCCTCCAGACGCTGCGATCCGTGAGGATTGGAAGTCGCCCGACGTCAAACAAAAAGCGAAGCGGGGCCGAGGGAACGGGAGGCCCCGGGGAATCGGGGGGGCCGAGGACGAGCACCGGGGACGAGCGGCCCTCGAAAAGCCCCGCCCCCTGCTCTGGGGGTCGAGCCTCTCCTCCCGAAGCAACACGACCTCCTCCTCGTCCTCCTTCTCCTCCTCCTCCTCCTCCTCCTCCTCCTCCTCCTCCTCCTCCTCCTCTCCTCCTCCTCCTCCTCCTCCTCCTCCTCCTCCTCCCCTCCTCGTCCTCCTCCGTCCTCCTCCTCCTCCTCCCTCCTCCTCCCCCTCCCTCCTCCTCCTCCCCCTCCACCTACTCCTCCTCTTCCTCCTCCTCTTCCTCTGCTCTTTCCTCCTGCTCCTCCTTTTCTCCTCCTCCTCCCCCTCCTCCTCCTCCTCCTTTTCCTCCTCCTCCTCCTTCCCCCTCCTCCTCCTCCTCTTTCCCCTCCTCCTCCTCCCCCTCCTCCTCTTGCTCCTCCTCCTCAACCTCTCCTGGAGGGTTTTTTGTTGAATGACCCCCTTCTCCAGGATCCAAGACACCCTTTCAGATTCACTTTTGATGGCCCGAGGGGCCGAACGCAAGGCAACACAAACACGCCCGCATCACATCCCCAGAGTTCTGGGCATAGGGGAGGGATCGGACGGGGCCAAAGACGAGAGCACAACCGTTCCAGAGCGCCCGGGGACGCTCTGGGAGCGTTCTGGAACGCTCTGAGGAGGCCGCGCGGTGCCCGAGACCTCCTCCAGAGGCGCCGGATCGCAGAGGTTGGCGATTGATCTTCGCCAGATGTTATCCTCGTCCTGGCTCCGTCCCCAAGGGGAGCAACGCCGCAGAGATCCGACGTCGTGCCTTTTTCGGTGCGCGGTCCCCCGAAGTCTCGCCCCACTCCCCGGGAACGGGTCTTCCTCCCGTGGCCGTTCTTTGCGAGGGCTCCCGGGGGCCGAACTCTTTTGTCGGACCTCCGCCTCGATGTTTTCTCCACACGTTTACCAGCCTCGAACTTATCCCTATCCCCAAGATTGACACGCCGAAAGGCGATGACAATCTTAGGGATCCGCCCTCAAAAAGTAAGGGAACAATTAAGATTGGCATCGTGATGAGGCGATGCCCAGCATATAGGGATAGGGATATGTTCCAGGCTAACACGCGGGACCTCTGGGGCCGCGGCCGCGCGGGGTGGGCCCTCCTTGGCGCCCGGAGGTGGGCGTGGACAGCATGGTCGTGCTCCCGGAGGCCGCCCACGGGAGCCGCCGCCGCCGCCTTATAGCCTGCTGCTAGGGGGAGCGCCAACCCCTCCCCCGGAGGCGCGGTTTGCGGCGCGAGTAGTCAAACATAGCCTTACGTCGGGCCTGTCCCTCTACAGGGGGAATTTTCAAAAATAGACAAATAAAATAGTCTGGGGACTATGTTTTGAGGATTCTTTGACCATTGTGGAGCATTTTTCGAGTATTTTGCATTTTTCGTCGAAAGCCCCCCTGTAGGGGGACACGCCCGACTTTAAAACAGTCAAAATGATGTAAACATGAAAACTCGGAGGTCCGCACGGATTTCTCGGATCGGCGCTGGACCCCCCCAATGGCGCGCGCGGCGCTTCAGGGGCGGTGCCGGAGGCGCCGCCAGAGGGCCCCAGCGCCTATCCGAGGAATCCGCGCGGACCTCCGATTTTTTGTGTGTGTGATGTTGAGTTATGTTTTTAGTATATTTTGCGTATGCTTTATTTGTTCCCAAAAAATCCGCCTGTAGGAGGACATGCCCGACCTGAACGTACTGACCCGGGGCAACCAGGAAATCCAAAGCGTCGCAAAAGAAGACACGGAGGTTTTCTTTGTTTTTGGCCTCGATAGTCCCGTCCCGGCGCGCGTGCGGATGGCCTCTGCGCGCCGCGACGTAACGAGTGTTCGGCCTCTTGAGGCCCTAACGGGGCCCCGGGACCGACAAGAAACGACTCGGTATGGAAAAACGGTCCCGGGGAAAGGGTGGGGACATTTGGGGCCCACGTAATGGAAAAACCGGCCAGGACAACGATACGGAGGTGATATCGGAGTAGGGAAAAGAACGTATGCCGCTGAGCTTTTTCTCGTTTTCCCTTTCTTGGGCCTCCTGGGCGGCTCGTGTCGCCACATATGGATTCGCTTCGGAATCCTGGTTCGAACGCATCCCGGGAGAGTCTTGCGAGTACAGTGGGAACGGTGACCCGTGCCCCCCAAAAAAACCCTGTTTGCCTTCGTGATGCCCTGGGTTTCTTGGATTTCGATGGTTTTGCGATGGAAAGCGCATCGTTCCCACACCAGAAATCAATGGGCGTCCTGGGTCTCAGGGTTGGGGTTCTTGTGGAAGGTTTCTTGTGGTCAAGCTCCTACTGTAGCGGAATCGGTGCCTGTGGATTCCCTAGCATTGGCATACGATAGGGGGAGATGCATCGACCCCCAATCACGCATCGATCACCGACAGGGGCTTGGTAGCCCCAGCCTCGCAGCCACGACTTGGGACGAGAAGCCGGCCCTGTGGAAAGGGGCGGGGTTTCGGTGGGCCGCGCCTGGAAGACATGTCGGGGGCACCCAAACGGGGTGGTGACCACACCGTGCGGTGAGTCGGTGGGGATTCGGGGTCTCCGCACGGTTTTGGGACTCGAGTCCCTCTCCGAGGACGTCTTGGGCGACAGGGGCCTCCAGGGTCCCAAGACCGTGCGGTGAGGGACCGTGCGGTGAGGTCTTGGGGGATTTCGAGGTCACCGCACGGTCTGTCACCGCACCTTTTCGGGACTCCCAAACACGACGCCATCGGATCCGCGGGTACGTGTGCGATGTTCAGGGGCAGCGCAGCAGTCGACCCGCATAGTGAGGATGAGCAGCCTTCCCAAGGGTACCCCTGCATCCTTGCCATATTTGGCCGCTTTCGCTGGCCGCGCCCAGCTCGAAGAGCCTCGAGACGGCCCTCCAACGCTTGCATCCTTATCGTGCGTCCTTCGATGCGGGCTGACTGCAGGGGTGGAGGAAAAGGTACCGTAGGTTCATGCGGCGTTGGCGCGCCGACGACGCCAGCGAAGGCGTTCAGGGCTAAATTCTGCGACGCCGGAGCCTTGCCCCGGCGCTGCTCACTAACTGCCTCTTTCGCCATGTGGAAAGCGGGTCCTGAAGGAAACGGGTCATGAGGTTCTTCTTGAGTAGGGCCAGGAAGGTCAGGTCTACAGCGGTCTGCAGAACACCCCAAACGGACATCAAGTGGGGCAACCAACCTGTTCGGTCAAGATGAAGCTTACGCGCCACAACCGGCGTGAAGCCAAAATGTTGGACATAAGCGAATGGTTGGATGATGCACATTTTCGTTTGCTTCACCGGCGAGGCGTTTGACCACCCTCAGGTCCCGGTTCTGGCGGTCCTGCAGAGGAAGGCGCTCTCTGACCCTCGGCCCCACTCGAGGCTCCTCTCCGTCTTCGGGCTCTCGGGCCTTGGGACTGGTCAGACGCCAGGCGATGGCTGGCAAACCCTGTGGCTGCTAAAACTCTGGACGCCCGAAGTGGGCACGGAAAGAATGGGTACAATGCCCAACAGCAGTTCTTGTTCATTTTGAACAGGATTCGCTGTCCACGCCACCGCGGCCTGTGTCCATTCGAGACAGAAGGCCGCTTGCCCAACAGCGGCCGCTGTTGGTTTGGGACAACATTTGTTGTTGGGCATTGTGCCCGTGCCCATCTCGGGCGTCCAAAAACATAGAGCTCTGGGACATTGACCTTGTTTTCCGGCCCGCTTACTATTTGGTGCGTTGAGTTTTCTTCCGGGGATTTGTCTTTTTGTTCCGGGAAGACCGTTGTAGCGATAAGTCGGGCCTGTCTCTCTACAGGAGGAATAATCCAAAATAGTCAAAAAAATAGTCAAGGGACGATTCTTCAGTATTCTTTAGCATTTGGGATGTATCTTTTGACAACTTGTTAACCTTTCGCCCAAAATTCCCCAGTAGGGGGGCAGGCCCGACCTGATTTGAGCGGCCAGGGACTTGCCAGCCCTCGCCCAGCTGCCGAGCTGTCCCGAAACGACCCGGAATGAAGAGCTCGTCTTGGGGGAAGGCCACGGGGTATCAGACCCGTTGCCCCATGCTAGTGCTCCTTTCTTTCGCGGAGGTTGATAGACCTCTTGCCCTGACACGTCGATTCGCGAATTCGCTGTTTTCGGTTCGCGAGAGGGCGTCGCGGCCGTTACTGGTGCGGATCCAGGTCCGTCGGTCTCGGACCTAGGCCGTTTCAACGAAAGGGTGGTTTACGAAAGGGAGGTTTGTCCACCGCCGACTCTTCCACCTGGATAACTTGGCCTGGTCAGTTGCGTAGGTTCGAAGTGGTACCCATCGGTCGTTGAAGGTAGGTGTTTTGGGTTTTCCATATTCCAATCCACTTGAAGCGACTCCCTACTTCAGTGGTCGGGATGCTCAACCTTTTACCGTCCGCCCAAGGGGGCGGTTGGAATCAAATCTGTTTTCAACGCCTTCCCACCTCATGTTTCTACCTACTGCTCCTGACCGCTGGGTACGCGGTCATGACTGGTGCGCGCCAGCATACCTGGGGCTGCCCAGAGCACGCAGGATCGGCCATCGGCCGCTGTCTCGCCCCCGCCCCCACCCACCAGACAATGTGGCCCAGCGCCGAGCACAACCAGGGGGCCACATGCGAACCCTACCCCTACCCCCCACGATTTCTGAGGGGGAGGTGGGGTTCACTCCACTCGGGAGCTCCTGAGCGAAGTGAGCCCCACCCTCCCCCTCAGAAATCGTGGGGGGTGGGGGTAGGGTTCGCGTGTGGCCCCCAAACAACACGATCCACAATGACACGTCCTGATTTCCTGTCCCCCTCCGTGCTTCAAAACACGACCTCCGCCCCCTCCCCCGGCCGCGCTCGTGCCGCGGGCCGCGGTGCGGCCGCCGCCCTCTTCCCGGCCCGGCCTGGTCGGACACCTGCCGCTGTCCCCTTCCTCTTCTCTCCGGGGCAGCGTATGGCTCGTGTCTGCCAGAGTTCGGGTTCGCCGGCGCTTTCTGCCGGCCTTGCCCTGATTGTTGACTGCGCAGTTCTCGTGCGATGCTCGCGGCGAGAGCTCGCGACAGATTGCAGATTAGGTCCCGTCGTTTGTGTGACGGTCCCGTTAGGCTATGTCCCAAATACCTGATGGCTCCCATGTGTTAGGCCGTCCACTGATCGAGCCCGCCCCCGTCCAGACCCAGGGGAGGCCCGGGGAGAGGCAGGGGGAGGGGCAAACCCCGCCCCAGAGGGGGAACACGGGGGGTGGAAGAGGAAGCTTCCAGAACACCTCAGCCCAGAGGGCTGGTGGGATTCGAGCCTTCCATTCCTGAGAGCCCCGCGGGTGTCGAGTCGAGGCTCCGATTGACGGTCCCAGGTGAGGTTTTTAGTATAGTGTAGTGTGGGAGCGGCTCTCGTGATGGTGGAGAGACGCTGTCGTTGATGGTGGAGAGTGTGGGAGCCCCACCGCATTCGTTGATGGTGGAGAGACGTGGTTTCAATGCAATAGCTCTGCAGCCCCTCCTCCGTTCTCCCGTGCATTCCTCGCCCCCCAGAAGCGCTTGAACCCCCAGGAGGAGGAGGAGGAGGAGGAGGAGGAGGAGGAGGAGGAGGAGGAGGAGGAGGAGGAGGAGGAGGAGGAGGAGGAGGAGGAGGAGGAGGTGAGGTGGAGGCCTTCCCCCCTCCACCTCACCTCCTCTCCCGCACTTGTTCTCACCCCTCTGTCGCCCACCAAGCTCCTCGCGATCCTCCCTCGTCCTCACTCGCCCAGCTTGCCATCCTTCCTCCTCCTTGGATGTCTGCCGTCGTGATTTCTGCTCACTCCGGACCCCTTCCCGGGGACTGGTTTTTCATCCGAGTCGATTTTTGATTGTCCTGGGTCCTAAAACGATTTGCTTTGGTTGTCTTGTTTTTGATTGTCGTTGTTTGATTGTCCTTTTGCCCGACACTGTGCCTGGGTTGTGGATCAAAGCTCGCAGGAATTCTCCTTCGGCTCTCTTCGAGGCGCTCTCGGAGGCCTCTTGGGAGCAGTTTTTTGGGGGCCTCTTGGGGGCCTCTCGGGGGCCTCTCGGGGGCCTCTTGGGGCCTCTTGGGGGCCCCCCGTCGGAGCCGTCTTTGGGTCCTCTTTGGCCGTTTTGGAAGCCTCTTGGACCGTCTTGGGTCCCTCTTTGGCTGTCTTGGGCTCATCTTGGGAGCCTCTGGGGCCGTCTTGGGGCGATATAGGGGGCCTTCACGTGGGCCGTCGTGGAGCGTCGGGGAACCGGAAAGGCGAGAACGCGAAATTCCTTCAAAAACTTTGGTGGATCATCAGTGAATGCTGCCCCTTGGGGCCCTCTCGGGAAGCCTCTCGGAGGCCTCTTTGGGCAGCTTGGAGGCCTCTTGGGCCATCTTAGAGCCATCTTGGTCGTCTTGGACCACTCGTTCAGCGACTGGGGGCCCTCTTGGGGCCTCCTGGGCCCGTCTTTGGGCCCTCTTTGGTCCATCTTGGGGCCCTCTTTGGTCCATCTTGGGGCCCTCCTGGGCCCGTCTTTGGGCCCTCTTGGGCCCGAAAAAGCCACGGGGAGAAGATGCGGCACGCCCCCAACGAGACGCGCCACGCCCCCGTCCCGAGCACACGCCCACTCCGTGCCCGGCGGCACGGTGGCGAATGCGGCTCCAGGTGGCACACAGGCAGCCCCCCCGCCTGGGCAGGCCCAGCTGGCCTCAGCAGGCCCCCCAAGCTGTTGCCCCAGCTCAAGGGCGCCCTCGAGGGCGCGAAGTTTTCGCGATTCGCGGGCGGGTTCCGATTCCTCATCCTCCTCTTCTCCCTTGGGAGGCGGCGCGAGGGCGCGAAGTTGTTCGCACTTCGCGCTTCGTGCAGCGCGAAGCGCGAAGTTGGGATTCCTTGGTAGTCCCAGCTGGCCTCAACAGGCCCCCCGATGTGTTGCCCCAGCTTTCCTCAACAGGCCTCCCGAGCAGCCTGGGGATGTCTCAACTCAGGAGGGAAAAAAACACAGGGCCCCTTTGTTAAGTCGGGCCTGTCCCCCTACAGGGGGAATCTCGACGAAAAATAACATACCCCCAACATAGTAAAAACATTATCCAAACATAGTCTGTAGTCTATGTTTTGCATATAGTTTGGCAATTTGGGTGCATTTCTAGGGTATCTTATATTTTTCGTCGAGAATCCCCCTGTACAGTCGGGGCCCTGAAGAAGGAACCCTTTTCGTTGGGGAGGGGCTCCACGTTCCTTGATTGTTTCGCAGCTTGCCTCAGGTTTTCCTCAGGTTTTCCTCAGGTTTTCGATCGGAGATCGAAGCTCAGCTTATGGAACATGGGGGCCCCGTTCCTTATTTGGGGTTCCTTGGGTCAACGCCTCGACTGGAGGGGGACACGCCCGACACAACCCCTTTGTCAACTCAGCGAGCGAAGAACGGTATAAGATAAACTTTTCCGCCGTCGGGGACACTTGCCCCTGGGCGGCTGGAAAGTTTC